ATTTAATTTGGATGTGGCGCTCAGTTAAATAACATTCGAAAAAAATCTATTTTCGCCGATAGAAATATGGCCCTATAGATTTTAGCTAACTTTTTCTTTCTCCTTCTTTTTCTTCCACTGGTGACGTTGAAAATGACTGAAACTACACACAAATCCGGCCACAAAATTGACCGTCAACATATGCCCGATAATGGATGAATTTGCCCCAACAATTGTTTATTTGGTGGGCATCACACCAGACATGACACTTCACTCTGTCAACCAAATTCGCTCAAAATCTAATGGTTTCTATTCCTCGGCACCCCCAATCATCCTGTGAAGTCAGATTTTGAATTACTTTTCTTGTTTGAAAGTTATCGTGTTAACAAATTTTTGCGTACAGGGTACAGCGTACAGGGTACCACGCACATACATTGACGTGGCCAAAAAACCGTTGCTCTGTGCTTCTCTATTCACACAGTGGGTGTGCGGAAAAGTAAAAATGCCTTAAATTGATATACTTTCAATTCGAACGCTGAAAGAATGTGTGGTGGGGGGTTTCTTGGCACGAGAAACCCGAATCTTATGTTAGTTTTAAGATGCAATCAATTTTTCATACAAAAATCCACAAAAAATTTCATTTTTGTATGAAAGACATGCTATTGTGGTACCGTAATGATTTTGAACAGGCTTTTTTTTGATTGAAATTTCTTTAAACTTGGTGTGATTATTTATTTTGATAATAGCATATGTATAGAAAGTCTTGGCACAACTTCAGACGTCCACTATTTGAACAACAAACAAACAATATTAAATTCGTTCTTATTGGTAGAAACCTTTATTTATGGGCTATCGAATAGCACATCACAGCGGACGGCAGTTCGCGCGAGTGACGAAACCACATTAGTGTGTTGAAAAGTCGAACTCGCTATATATACACGTAATGTCCAAATAATTACCAAATTCTAACCTGGAAGGCCTTTAGCCGCGATTGGTGTATGGTTGGAAAGTCCTTGGGCCATAGATCAAGAAAAAATATTAAAGTTCGAAAATTGGTCCACCCGTCTTCGAAATATGGTCCTTTCAAGAAAAGGGTCAAAATTCAGTTCTACGGCCATAGATGGCACTAAATGAGGTCGTTGACCCCTGAAACATCGATATTACAATTCTAGAGCTCGATACCTTTCTAACGACCCCCTAACCGTCGAATTCGATCAATCCGTTCGAAAAATTTATTATTTTAAAAATTTCATATGTTTTTCCTATAAAAATCATTTGGTATGTGTGTCCGCGATTTGCGTACTCGATTCTGATCTTTTTGAAACTTTGATTAAAGTACACACAAAACTAAGACTTTTGTTCCGGCACTTTTCGATATGGCCGCCATGTTGGCCATGGCCGGCCTCTAAAAGTCACTTTTCGACTTTTTTTCCTATGGTCACCGAAGCGCCATAACTTGACACCCCCCCAGACATATGCATATCATTGGAAAGGTCTTGAAGTGAGCTATCGAATAAAGCCATTTAAGGACCAAAAATTTCAATTTGGAGTGGCCAAATTGGCCAAAAACCAAAAAGTTACCGTTTGGACGGACACATAATGGTCATTAGCTCGAAAACTAGCCTTTGATGGTCACTTGAAATTTTCACCGATTTTTAGGCCCAAGTCTAAGCTTTAAAATGCCGCATAGCTTATATCCCTAAAAATTCTTGTCTGCACGATATGGCCTTTGATAGCGCGAATATAGCCAAAAATGGCCAAAAAGGACAAAAAATGTTACTTTTAACATTTGAAGTATTTTATAGGCCAAAATGTACTCCAATGACTCTGTAGATATGCTCTGTGACTAGCCAAACAAAATTGAATAAAATATCGACCGTTTTGAAACAAATGTATATTAAGTTTATATTCACAGTACACAGAAAATATATCTACCAACTATTTTCGTCACAAAATTGATATCAGAAATTTTGTGTTTCAAATTTTGGTTTCGTCACTCGTTCTTCACCTCGATAGAGGTTTTTTATTTGATTTTGGTTACCGTCAATATTTTCAAAATGGCAAAAGATGAAAATTTTTGTATAGGAAATGTACCATGAACGAATTCTACTGCAAAATAAATGTCATATTCGGTTTTCCCTTATCAAAAAACCCCCAAATACCAATTTTCATTGCAATCGAATAAAAACCAATTTTTTCGAAATATTATTCCAAAAGAATGGTTTCAAGCCGAAAAATCTAAAAAAATTGAACTAATTTCTCAAAACGGTTACCACCATTGAATTCCTCCGGTCCGAATTATATAAAAATCAGTTGTCAAAGTGAACAAACAAAGTAAAAACCTAGTACATTGCAGTTGATTACTAAGATATTAAAATATAGGTGGCCGCCCAAGTTCACACCTTTACCAATTTTCACCAAATAAAAGAATGTTGTCGTTTCAAAATGTGCATATCGGCTCAAAATTGAGTGCGCTTTCGATCTATGAGGAAAAAATCAAAGCATGACATGCATTTCTCCAATAAGCTAAGAATGACGTGATTCTGTTAAAAAACACCCCGTATACCACCTGTGATCAAAAATGGCCAAAAATTGAATATTTGCAAAAAAAAAAAATAGATATGACACATACGCCAAATCATCACATATTTGTAAATCACCAAGGCGAAAGAACACTGTTAGGTGCAGTTATTATTAGTATTGATTTAAGTCTACACTTGTGAAAACTAAATTAAAAAATTCATTCAATTTGTGAATTTGTTTTCTTTATATTCATAATGATTTTTTTTTTCAATTACAATAGAAACCACCCTGTTCGCTTTGGCTTGGGAGTATCGAACAATTTAGAGAATAAAGAAAATTCTCATCCTTTTGTAATTCGCGAAGATACAAGTACTGATAGTGATCACAGTGATGGACCAATATTGTTTCGCGATGATACTCCTATGAGTGATAAATCCACAACTAAACTAGCACGAAAAGAAAGCCTTTCATTGAAGTTGTCACTGCGACCAAACATGGAGGAATTGATTAATAGAAATATTTTACATATGCAAAGTGAGAATGAAAGACAAGAATCAAAAGAGGCAATTGGTGCAAAATTGATAAGACGACTATCAATGAGACCTACCCCGGAAGAATTAATTGAGCGCAATATTTTAAAAAGTCAATCTCCAGCTGAAGAAAAGAAACAAAAGGAGGAAAAGAAAAGATTTCTCCTACGAAAACTTAGTTTCAGACCAACCGTGGATGAGCTCAAAGAGAAAAAAATAATTCGATTTAACGAATTTGTAATGTTTTGAGGACATTCTAACGTTGAAAAATGTAACGTTTTGGCCCATTCTGGTGGTC